GGGCCACCTTGAGGGGCGCCCCGTGGGCGCCCTCGATCTCGCCCGATCGAGGCTCCAACGGGGATTGAGGCGGCGGAGCGATTGGCCGCCGCGCCCCAGCTGCTGCTGAAGGTGATGGGACTAAGGCGACGCCCGCCCAGACGTTCCCGACGCCGGAGGCCTCCCTGAGAGCATCTACAACGAGATCCCGGAAGGCTGCCGCGGGGGGCCAGGCTGCCGTCGTGGGTGTCTGCTGGAGCGAGCGCTGTGTCGCATGCCGCGTGGGCTCCTCATGACGTCCAGGTCAGAACAGATATGACGGATTGGAAGTCATCATGGTTGCCTTTCCCCCGGTTTCAGGCGAGCTGCTCCTGGGCGTGTCGCAGTGCGAGGGCGAGCGCAAGCGCCGCGCCAGTGCCGGCTGGTCCGTTGTGGCGCTGCAGACCCGCGCTGAAGTGCTCCTCGTGGGGGTCCTGGCCATGGTGGCCAGCGCCTGCAGGCGCATTCGCGGCGGCCCGGTCGCTTTTGTGGCGAGAGCTGTGGATGCTGCTGGGCAAGTTTGGAGGCCTGGGTGGGCGTGGGCTGCTGCTCCGGAAGGTGCCTGCCCATCGGGCCCGCTGCCAGGTCGCCGAGGGCAAGGTCAGCCACCGCGACCGGTGCGGCCACCAGCTCGCGGGCAGAGCGGACAAGCGCGCAGCCGCGCGTGGCAGGCTGGGCCTTCCTTGACGAGCCGCAGCAAGATGGTCGAGTGCGTGGCCGGGCTGGTCGCTGCAGCGGGCGCGGCGGTCGGCGGCGCGGGCGCCGCCCGCCGCGTGCCCAGGCCCAGCGAGCCAGACCCCAAGAATGCCCTGGCACCCGTTGCTGCCTGGTCTGCGGGGCCACAGGGGCGGCCCGCCCCAGCTCCTCCCGCCATGCCTCCTGGGCGCCCTCCAAGAAGGACCAGGCGTTGCCCAGCAGGTTGGCCAAGAGAGGGCGGCCGCCGGGGGGCGGGCAGAGCTCCGTCGCTGTGGAGCCCCAGCGGATCGACGAGGCGGAGCTGGCTCCGACGGCCGCGCGGGCGGCCAGCTCGGCGCGCAGATCCTCGTCGGCGCAAGGCGTCCTAGCGAAGTCGCTGGAGGCTCAGGGCCCCCGCGGCCCGCGCCGTCCGCCGCTCGCTCATGCCCCTGTCCTCCTCCTGCGGCACTCACAGCTGAGCGGGAAACTGCAGTGCGCCGCGCGGCAGAGCAGGGCACGTTCCATCTGGTTTTGCCCGCCCCTTCCGCCCAGTCCACCTCGGCAGTTCCACCCTTCCCTCGCCTGCTTCGACTCGTGCTCCTCCCCCGTTTCTCGTCCTCCTCCTCCTCCTCCTCCTCCTCCGCCTCCTCCTCCTCTTCCTCCTCTTCGTTTCCCGCCTCCTCCTTATGATCCTCTTTGTCCTCCTCTTCCTCCTCCTCTTCCTCCTCCTCCCCCACCTTTCCCTCTACAGTTGCACAGTAGGCATACTAGTTTCCTCTCCCCCCTGATTACGTCCAAAAGATGTCCAGCCCCCTCCGCGTTTTGTTTTTGCACAGGATTCCTGGGAGTTGGGTGTTCGCTTGGGGCGCGTTCCCCACATGTTGTTCCCGCTGAAGCGCTGGCCTCATTTTCGGGCTTCTACTCGTTACGAATCGTGCTCCGGTGCAGCGTTGGCCTCATTTCCGCGCTTCTGCTCGTTCCGAATCTTGCTCCCGCTGCAGCGCCGGCGTCATGATTTCCAGTGCCATGCGTGGCATGGTTTTCGGTCCTTCCAAATCGGCCCCAAGATCTAAAAGACGCTTCCCCCCCGAAAAGACCATCGAACATGTCACATTCGATGTCGATTTGTAAATTCTGGGGCCGCAAAGGCCCCCCCCCCCCAGTTTGTGGCGTCGCCACGCCATGCTATGTCATGCTACGTGCTGACCTTTTAACGCCTTGCTACGTCATGTCATGCTATGGCATGCAATGACACCCGACTGTGCGAATAGAACAGAGATCCACGCCATGGTAAAAAGGGATGGGAGGGAGGGGTAGGACGTCAGATAGGACGCGAGCGCACCTTCCTTGCCCTCCTCCCCCTTCCCCCTCCTCCTCCTCCTTCCCCTCCGCTCCTTTCTCCTCCTCTTCCTCTTTTTCCTCCTCCTCCGCCGAGTTGCCCTTTTGCCATGCTCGGTTCGGATCCTCCTCCGCCTCCTCCTTGTTCTTCTCCCCTTCATCCATCCCTTTCTCTTGTGACTAACTCCTCCCTGTTGCACCCCCAGGCGTGTGGGCAGGGCGGGCCGGGGGCGTGTTGCCTGACGCTTCCTCACCACGTACCATCCTGAAGCTGGGAATTTGCAGCAGCTTCACGGATGGGGGGGCGGGCGCCATGTTCGAAGTGTGCGCCTTGCCGTGGCGCCGCGCACAGTCGTTTCGAATTCTGCAGTAGTGTCGAGGAGATGGGCGGCGGGCCGCTCTCTCAGAACGTGCCTCTCGCTCGAGCGGCGCGCGCGCCTGTTGTCGAAGTTTGCGGCAGCTTCGGGGATGAAGGCCGGCTCTTCTCAAAGGGTGTCTTTCGTCTTGGCGCCGCGCACCTTTTGTTCAAGAGTGCCACCGATTCAACGGTCCGCATGGTCGAGGTCCCAGGAGCGGTGTCCTGGCGAGAACTGTTGCTTGTCAGGGCGCAGCAGTCGCGTGGATTCGCGACGCGGAAGTCCCAGGAATGGTGACGCACCAGTAACGCTGGCTCGTGGTGCTGCCGTCCCAGGCGTGGTGTCTGGACAAGAGTGGGGATTATCTGGGTGCAACAATCGCATTGGCCCGCTGTGTTGAAGTCCCAGGGTCTGTGTTTTGGTACGATTGGGGATTCTTACGCGGTTGTCTTCTAAATGATGGGCCAGGTCTTACAAAGACAATCAAGTCTCGCAGGTCCTTATGACCCTATGAAGAGGGAACTTTGAGGGAGGGTTGACTGCAACATCGTTGATGCGTCTTGAATTTGCACTGGTCCTCCTCTCCTCCTCTCCCGCCCTCTCCACTCCGCCGCCCATCATCCCGTGGCAGTCCCACACACGCGGCAGTCCCTCTGGCACACAGCCCGACCGCCACAGCCCCGTCGCTGGCCCAACCCTTCCCCCTCTGCTCATCCTCCTCGACCTCCCCCCCCAGCAGCAGCAGTGGCGAACCATCGTGCTTACCGTGACCGCCGACTTCTCTTGGGCACGCTCCACCTCCTCTCAGGATGCGGCTCCCAGGAGATCGCTTTCCGCAGCAGCGCCGGCACATCCGTGGTCGAAAGCCGGCCCAATCCCGTGGAATCCCGCTCCATGCTGGGCCCAGTCCGGCTCCGTCGGGATCAATCCATCGGGCTCCCAGAAGTTGCGGCCCTCCCAGACATCCGGCTGCTCCAATTGTCTGGGTGCGTGGACCCAGGAGGCCTGGACCACTCCCCTGGGACCGGTTTTTCGCCCTGCGTCGTTTTTTGACGCTCCCGAGGCCTGGCGAGGGCCCCCGGAGGCGGAAAACTGGCAAACACCGCCCGCTCCAATTTTTTTGGAGCGTCGGATCTCAGGGCTGGGAGAAGTAAAAGGACACGGATGCCACTGCTCCCTGGACCTCTCCCAGGGGTCGTTCTGACCAGGACTTCGCGGCGAACCCTGCCGTGGCGACGAGGGCTCTCCAGGACGAGCAGCGGTGCCGGTGCCGTTGCCTCCTCGGATCTTCCTCCACCCCGTTCCCCCTAAAAACCCTAAAGACCTTAACAAAACCCTAAAAGCCCTAAAAGCCCTAAGAGCCATAAAAACCCTAAAGACCCTAAAAACCCCCCAAACCCTGAAAATCCTAAAAGCCCTAAAATCCGGGTTAGCCTGCAGGCCCTCTCCCGCTCGTCCCTGCCGGCGCCATGGCAGCGAGCCGTCGTGCCTGCCGTGGCGCCGACCCCTCTCGGGCGCGCTCCCCAGACCCCCGGCAGCGCTATAGCTTTTCACGATGTGTGGGCCCCCTTCCCCTGGGACTGTTCATCCCGAGCAGTTTCTTGACAGTCCCGAGGCCCCGCGAAGGCCCCCTGAGGCCGGACACATCCAGAAGCCTCCCGTCATGGTTTTGTTCTCGGCGCCACGGGGCCTGGGCCGCCTCCTCCCTGCAGGCCGAAGGAGTCCACATCTCACGAAGCTTCGCTAGCGCCAAAAACGCAAACAAGGGAAGCTGGTCTGCGATGGCGAAACTGGTGGGCTGCTCGTCGGGGTGTAGCAGGTTGCGCCCTCCTGGTCATCCAACCTTCTCCATCCCGAAACACGCCAGACACTCCTAGCGAAGGCGCGTGTCCCTCATGCGATCGTCTTCTTATTCACTGGTTTGCCGATCGGCGCGGGCCCTCGCACCCCGCCCCTCCCCCCCCCCATGGAGTAGGTCTTGGCTGTTTTTGGCGCCTGTTTCGAACAGGTGGCGCCTTCCCCACAGGACGCATTGTTGCAAACAGTCGCATGAAGCAGAGGCCCAGAGCCAGACCCCCCCCCCCTCCCCCACTTCCCTCCCGCCCACTCTCGGAAACAGGCCGGATCCGAACACGTTCGCCATGTGATGTGAATCTTTCCAACCTGTAGACCCTTCCCCAGACCCCCGACGTCGTGATTTTTTCATGACGCCGACCCTCGAGGGTCTCGACCCCTTCCCCGGGACCGGTTTCTCGCCCCGAGCCGTTTGCTCCACGGCCCCGAGGCCCGGCGAGGGCCTTCAGAGGCCGAAGATGGCCAAACACCTCCCGTGGCGATTTCTTGCCCTAACTCGAGGGGGCCTGGCTTCGCCGCTCGCCCCAGCCGGTGCAGCCGCAGCAGCCGCCGCCGCCTTTCAGGAGGGAAAAAAAAACACACAGACACAATGAATCTTCGATTCCCCCGAAGATATGGGAAACTATGGGAAGTGGGGGGGGAGACAGAAACCCAGAAAAGATGAGAAAATATGGGGAATCTTTTTCTTTGTGTGTATTTGTTTGTGTGCCCCAGGGCCCCTTCACCCTCCTCGCGCCGCGCGCGCGCGCGCCCCGCCCGGGCTCAGCGGCTCCGCGGCCGCCCCCCGCCCGCCGAGCAGCGGCGCGCGGCCCGGCGGGCGCCGCAGGGCGGCGCCCGCTCCCCGGGGAGCCATGGAGCCCCCCGTGTCGCCCTCGTACCCCCGCGAGGCGATGGGCTCCCAGACCCCTCCTATATAATATATATATATATATATATATATATATATATATATATATGTATATATATATATATATATATATATATATATATATATATATATATATATATATATATATGTATATGTGTGTATGTATGTATGTATATGTGTATGTATATGTATCTATATATATGTATGTATTCGGAGGTGGATAGACCTCCTACCCTGACACGTCGATTAGCGAACTGGCCGTTTTCGGTTCGCGAGAGGGCGTCGCGGCCGTCATGTTTGCGGGTCCAGGTCCGTCGGTTTCGGTTCTAGGCCGTTTTCGCTAAAGGGAGGTTTACTAAAGGGAGATTTGTCCGCCGCCGACGTATAGATATAATTATATGTATAGATCTCAGAATGAAGGGGCCGAACGGTCATTCCTTGTCCGTGGGTGCGTGGCTGAAGTGGGGATCTGTGGTGAGGATTCTGCTTGTTGGGCTGTTGAGGTCTCGCTGCTGAAGAATAATTATTGTTGTTCCCCCCCATCTGATGCACATTGCATTTTCCACGTAAATAAAGTGCCCCTCCCGGCGCTCGCACCCTGTTTTTTTAATCCGGGCAAGTCTTCCTCCTCGAACTGTGTTGTCGGCCCCCCGGGTACAACAACAACGGCTCCCGCCTGAGACTTCCTCACAACTTAGCCAGGACCCCCGCTCCGCCGGAGATTTTCTCGCATTTTACGCAGGAATAGCGCTCTCGCATGGGACGTCCTAGCACTTTATGCAAGAATCGCTCGCTCGGCGCTCCGGAGCGCCCTCGCGTTGGAATGTCCCCGCAATTTACTCAATTGCCGTGCTCCCGACGCTCAGGCACCCAGGAGTCGCGCTCACGCTTAGGACTCCCTCCCAGATTATTTAGGAATCGGGATCTCGCTGCCCTTCGTGGCCCCGTTGCTGCCCTTCGTGGCCCCTTCGCTGCCCTTCGTGGCCCCCTTGCTGCCCTTCGTGGCCCCATAAATGCATGCCCTTGGTTGCCCCCGCTCGTTCGCGCCCTTCGTGGCCCCATATGCATGCCCTTCGTGGCCCCGTTGCACCCCTTCGTGGCCCCCTCGCTACCCTTCGTGGTCCCGTTGCTGCCCTCAATGGCTCCGTCCTTGTCCTCCGCGGCCCAATATACGTATGCCTTTCGTGGCCCCCGCTCGCTCGCGCCCGTCGTGGCCCCATGTGCATGCCCTTCGTGGCCCCGCTGTCGCCCTTTGTGGCCCCCTCGCTGTCCTACGTGGCCCAGTTGCTACCCTCAGTGGCCCCGTCGTTGCCTTCTGTGGCCCCGCATTATCTGCCCTTCGTGGCCCCCGCTTGTTCGCGCTCCTCGTGGCCCCATACGCATTCCCTTCGTTTCCCCGCTGTCGCCCTTTGTGGCCTACTTCGTGCCCTTCGTGGCCTTGCTGTCGTGCTCTCTCTCTCGCTTTCGCTCGTCGTCGTCGTCGACGTCGTCGTCGTCGCCGTCGTCGTCGTCGACGTCTTCGTCGTTGTCGTGGTCGGTCCCCTGTCCGTCCCTCTTGGGGTCGGGTTGCCGCCGATCAGCGCTGCCGCTGGCCAGGCCGACGGTCCGCGGCCGCCCCGCCGTTTGCCAGGACCCGGCCTGCAGGGAAGAAAGGGATACCCCCCAAAAGGGGTACGACCGAAGACGGAGAGGGCGGGTATCGAGGGTTTGGGAAATACGCGTTAACGGACAGTCGAGCAGATAAGAGCGAACAGTCTTAAATTGATTGCTGCTGTTGTTGTTGAACTCTCACCACTGAAGAATAATTCTTGTTGATCCCCCCTCCAGTGCACATTGTCGTTTTTCAATTGAAGTGCCCCTCCCGGCGCTCGCACCCTGTTTCCTCATCAAACTGTGTTTGTTGGCCCCGGTTTGCAACAACAGCGGTTCCCGCGCGATATTTCCTCACAATGTTTTTCCGAGTCGCGCTCTCGCGAGGGACTTCCTCACTATTTGTTTAGGAGTCGCGTTCTCGCGTGGGACCTCCTCCAAATTTATTCAGACGCCGCGCCGTCGACATTCAGGAGTCACGCTCTCGCTGTAGATTTCCTCACGATTGATTTGGGAATCGAGCTGTCGCTCGATACTTCCTTGCGATTCACGCAGGACGCACGCTTCAGCAACCCTCCTGCTCGACCTGTCAGCCTGGGCCCTCCTTCCCGACCCGCCTGGTAGGGTCTACCCGTCCGATCTGCCCGTCTGGTTCTGCCGCGTGTTTTCTGCTCCTACCCTGTGCTCCATCTTCCTCCCTCCCCCATGCCCTTCCTTCCATCTGTCCTCTCTTCTCCTGCTTCACGGGCTGCGCGAAATACACGTTACAGGTAAGAAAGAACGGTCGAGGACGAAGATCGCGCGTATCGATGGTTCGGGATATACGTGTTGAATCGCACGCGAGCAGATACGCGGTACCAGTCTTAAAATGAATGTTGTTGCTGCTGCTGTTGTTGCTGTTGCTGCTGTTGTTGGTGTTGTTGTTGTTGTTGTTGTTGTTGTTGCTGTTGGTGTTGTTGTTGTTGTTGTTGTTGTTGTTGTTGTTGTTGTTGTTGTTGTTGTTGTTGTTGTTGTTGTTGTTGTTGTTGATGTTGTTGTTGTTGTTGTTGTTGTTGTTGTTGATACAGGCGGGGCAAGCCCCCCCGGGGGGGGGGAGGGGGGGAGGGGGGGGGGGAACAACACAACACAACACAACGCACCCCTACAGGATGATCCTGTGGGTTCCGTACAGGGTTCCATAGGATTCCCACACGACCCTGACAGGGTTCCATAGGACGTCCATAAAACCCCTACAGAGTTTTTTGGGACTCCCATTGGGCGGACGAGGAGCCGATGAGGATGATGAGGACCATGATGATCCCTACAGGGATCCTGTAGGGTCCCTGTAGGGATCCATAGTGATCCTCTAGTGCCCCTGTAGGGATCTAGAGGGATCCCATAGGGCCCCTCTATTTACAAAAAACTATCCCGTAGGGTCCCTGTAGAGGTCTAGAGGCATCCTATTGGGTCCCTGTAGAGATCCGGAGGGATCCCTATAGGGTCCTTATAGGGATCTACAGCGACCCCATAATGTCCCTGAAGGGGCCCACAGGGATCACATAGGGTCCCTGTAGGGATTCAGAGGGACCCCATGGGGACCTTGTAGGGAGCCCCAAGGATCCCATAGGGTCCTTATAGGGATCTACAGCGATCACACAAGATCCCTGTAGGGATCCAGAGATCCCATAGGGTCCCTGTATGGGCCCACAGGGACCCATAGGCATCCTATAGGGCCCCTGTAGGGATCGATAGGGATCCTCTCGTATCCCTGCAGGGATCCATGGGGATCCTCTAGGATGCAGGGATCCATCAGGATCCTCTCGTATCCCTGTAAGGATCCATAGGGATCCTCTGGGATCCTTGTAGGGGTCCATCGGGATCCTTTAGGATCCCTGTAGGGGTCCACAGGGATCCTCTAGGATGCTTGTAGGGATCCATTGGGATCCTCCGTAGGATCCCTGTAGGGGTCCACAGGGATCCTCCAGGATCCTTGTAGGGATCCACAGGGATCCTCTAGGATCCCTGTAGGGATCCATAGGGATCCCCTTGGATCCCTGTAGGGATCCATTGGGATCCTCCAGGATCCCTGTAGGGGTCCACAGGGATCCTCCAGGATCCCAATAGGGATCCATTGGGATCCTCCAGGATCCCTGTAGGGATCCATTGGGATCCTCCAGGATTCTTGAAGGGATCCATACACAGATCCTCTAGGATTCTTGTAGGGATCCATACAGATCCTCTAGGATGCTTGTAGGGATCCACAGGGATCCTCTAGGATGCTTGTAGGGATCCACAGGGATCCTCTAGGATGCTAATCCACAGGGATCCTCTAGGATGCTTGTAGGGATCCACAGGGATCCTCCTTGTAGGGGGATCCAGAGGGATTCTATAGGGTCCCTGGAGGGATCCACAGGGATTCTAGAGGGTCCCTACAGGGATCCACAGGGATTCTATAGAGTCCCTGGAGGGATCCACAGGGATTCTATAGAGTCCCTGGAGGGATCCACAGGGATTCTATAGAGTCCCTGGAGGGATCCACAGGATTCTATAGAGTCCCTGGAGGGATCCACAGGGATTCTATAGAGTCCCTGGAGGGATCCACAGGGATTCTATAGAGTCCCTGGAGGGATCCAAAGACTCCTAGAGGGTCCCGAACGGATTCCGATGGGAATCCGTAGGGAGCTTGTAGGATTCATACAGAATTCATACAGAATTCATACAGAATTCGTTGTGTTGTGTTGTGTTGTTCCCCCCCCCCCCCTCCGACTCACCGGGGGGGCGGGACCTGCCTCCTCCACTGTGGCGGACGCGGGAAGTGAAGCCCCGGACCCCGGGGGGACCATGCCGGCCTGTACCTTGTTGTTGTTCGTCGTCCCACCCGCGACCCACCCCGCGACCCACCCCGCGACCCACCCCGCGACCCACCCGCGACCCACCCCGCGACCCACCCCGCGACCCAACCCGCGACCCACCCGCGACCCACCCCGCGACCCACCCGCGACCTACCCCGCGACCCACCCGCGACCCACCAGCGACCCCTCGACCCACCCCGCGACCCACCCCGCGACCCACCCCGCGACCCACCCCGCGACCCACCCCGCGATCCCAAGGCAGCCCAAGGCAGCCCAAGCAAGCACCAAAGGGACCCTCAGGAAGGCCCGCAAATGCAAAGCAGTAGTCATTGATTGTCGCACTGTTTTTTTTACGCTTTTGTATGTCGCACCGAAGCCTTAACACCAGCAGGGCTCCAAGACACTGAGCGAGCGACCTCGCGCCCTCGCAAAATGAACTCGCTTTCCGCCCCCGTGCCAAGCAGGTTAAGTGGCCTTCGGCCCATCCCGCCCCCGCGCCCTGGTTGTGTGTATTCATATTTGTGTGCCTTAGGGCCCCCCCTCGGCCTGCTCGACTCTGGGCCGCTCGGCCCGCACGGCGATCCCGCCGCGCCCGCGGCAGGCGGCACCTCCAAGGCCTCGCCGAGGGCAGGCCGCGCCCGTGCCCCGTTGCGCTGCCTCGGGAGGGCCGGCGGCGGCCGCAGCGGCAGATGCCAAGTGCAGCAGCAGCAGTCCTCCTCCCCCTCCTCGATTATCTTCCTCGTCGTCGTCGTCGTCGTCCTCCTCCTCCTCCTCCTCGCTTATCTTCCTCGTCCTCCTCCTCCTCCTCCTCGCTTATCTTCCTCGTCGTCCTCCTCCTCCTCCTCGCTTATCTTCCTCCTCCTCCTCATCCTCCTCCTCGCTTATCTTCCTCCTCCTCGTCCTCTTCCTCCTCGCTTATCTTCCTCCTCCTCTTCCTCCTCCTCCTCCTCTTCCTCTTCCTCTCTCCTCCTCTGAGAGCCCAGCTTACAGGTAGATGAGCTAGGCCCGAGCACGCAGCCTTGGAGACAAACTCATTTGCCCTCTTCTCGTTTCGTGCTCGTGACCGCCTGCCCTCTTCCTTTCTTCAGAGTGCCCAGACTCTTCCTCTCTCATCCTCCTCCTCCTCCTTCCTCTTCCTCCTCCTCTTCCTCCTCCTCCGCCTCCTCCTCCCAATCCTCCTCACGATCGCAGCATCGGGATCAGAGCAGAAGTGGCGGAGCGTCACTGGCAGGATACGCGACAGAAGCAGGAGCCCATGTTGCTGAAGCGGTGGAGCGGAGGAAGAACAATGTCAGCAGTGAGTGCAGGCAGTGGCGGCACCGAGGAAGAGGAAGCGCAGATCGGCGCAGAGGCCCCGCGGGCTGTGCCGAGACCAGACCGGAAGTCCGACCGAGCGCGCACGCAGGAATCCCGAGCAAGACTGCGCGGGCATGCCAGCCGACTCTCTTCAGGATGCGGTTTGTTCTTCCATACAGAAGACGCTGGGCACGAAAGGGGCTCGATGTTCCTTGGGTCATTCTGTGGCTGTTCCTCTAGCTCTCCCTGTGACGGCTGACGCTTTTGGGGCCAAGCAAGGGGCCCCGTGCCCTAGTTGCCGTTCCTTGTCTCAGCGGCCCGACTGTCTGCTTCATAGCCTCCCAAACGAGCGCCGCGAAAAGCCCCCGGGGGGTCGTCTGCGCCGACACTGGCGCGCAAGCTGCCCGCGTAGGGTCGCGCGCACGCGCCCTCGTCTCCGATGAGGCATGCCGCACCGGCGGCCCGCGCAAGTCACCGCGTGAGGTCGCTGCGCCATCGTGCGCAAGACCAGAGGCCTAGAGTTTGACACCAACGCCAGTATCGGCGGTGTGCCTCCACCGAGGGGAGAAGATCCCGATCTCGGTGGTGGTGGTAAGATTCTGGCTTCAAGGTGACCGAAATAATACCACCAACACCGAAATCTAGGAGCATCATCCCCTTGTGGAGGCAGCCCCCTGTGTTGGTGTTGGTGCCCATTTCCAGGCCTCCAATCAGACCCGCTTGTGATCGTCGCTCAAACGAGGTCCGCGCAGGTGGGGTCGGAGGATCGCGCCGCATCGCCGGTGCGGCTCGATGTGGCGCCCGGTTTTCTTCGAGCCGACGTCGCCGATGCATCGCCGAAGTCGCCGGTGCATCGCCGATGCACCAGCGATGCACCGGCGATGCGGCACGATCCTCCGGCCCCATCTACTCGGACCGGGCCCATTTGGGAGACAGCTTCTGCCGCTCGTGGGGCGGGAGGTATGCCACTGTTCTTCACATGCCATCAGGCCGCATGTGGTCGCAACCTACAGGCGTCGTGAGGTCGGGGCTCAAGTTTCGGTAAGGCACCCGGATCACTACATCAGGAGCGTTCGTTGAGGAGTGTGCCCAGGAGGCGTCAGACCCTGGAGGATTCCTTAACCGATGTGAGGGCGGCGGTGATATCTCAGGAGGGGAAAAATCACACGGACACCAAGAATCGTCGATCCCCAGGAAAGTATGGGAAACTATGGGAAGTGCGGGGGAAGACCAAAGCCCAGAAAGTATGTGGAAATATGGGGAATCCTGGGATGTGTGTATTTATCTGTGTGTGTGTGTGTGTCCCTGAGCCCCTTCTTTATCCATGGCCGAGCCTTCATCGCTGTTCGTTCAGCTTCCAGTCCCCGGACTCTTTCTCCAAAGATTCCTCGTCCAGTGCCCACAGCGTGCCTGCGCGCCCCGCGCGGCGGCGGAGGCAAGCTGGTCGCGAAGAAGGGCAAGGGCAGCCCAGAGGGCATCTTTGCGGATCGCTCCGCACCCCATCGTCGTCCCGGCTCTCCTCCCCATCCGCATCATCGCTCCCGACCCCGTGCCTGTCCGTCCCACCCTCTTCTCCCCAGGCCCTCACTGTCCCCTATCCTTTCCCCCCCCTTCCTCCCCGCAAACTCCCTCTTCGCATCGCTCTTATCTGCTTGTCGTCTCATCTCATCCCCTCCGTCTCCCCCATCCCATCCCCTTCTCGCCGATCTGTCACCTCTCCCCCTTCCCCCCCTCCCCCTCCCTGCTCCCCGTCTCTGCAATATCATAACAGATAACGAGTCCTCGGTCATGGGCGCTGGGTTGCTGCCTTCAGACGCTATCCTCCTCCTCCTCCTCCTCCTCCTTCTCCTCCTTCTCCCCATCCCCCAGTTGGCACAGCAATGTTGGCGGTACTGTGGGCTAGCCAGGAATATGGAGCCAGAGGTCTTTCACAGCCTGTGCTCGTCACTCCGCTTTGTACTATTTCCGTGTCTGTGATGGCAGCTGTGCCAGGGCGTCTTTGCCCACGCCATGTTTGGCGTTTGGTTCTGCCCTTGTGGCCTGCGACATCTCCTCCTTTTCCTCCTCCTCCTCCTCCTCCTCCTCCTCCTCCTCCTGGTCGTGATTTGCCAGGGAGGGCCTTCGCGGTGAGGCGAAAGGGCATGGCGGTGCCCTCTCCATTTCGTTTTCCCCTCCACACTTCGGTCAAGGGGCTTCTACTCTGTGCTGTGCCGGTCGTGCTCCTCCACAGTCCTCTTCTTGATGCGCCTCTTTACTCCTCCTTCTCCTCCTCCTCCTTCTCCTCTTCCTCCTCGGCTCGACTCTGACGGCACTGGAATGTAGTCGGAGCTTCAACGGCACCGTAACGGGTACTTACTAACGGGTACTTTGAATTTTTGCCGAAAGTTGCCACTTTAGGGCCTTTTTCTTGCATTGCAGCTTTGCCCACATCGGGAAGCGCTGGGTTCGCTGGGTCACTGGCCAAAGTACCCGTTAGTGGAGTCCCCGTTTGAGGGGCGCTGAGAGCTGCCTTCCACTCCTCCTTCTCCTCCTCCTCCTCCTGTGTTTTTTCATGTCTGTCGCAAACAAAAGGCGTAGTTTGAAACCTCGCCGTCCCAGGCAGCAGGTTTCGAAGCCCACCTGAGGCTCCTGCGTGCTGCCAAGTTGGCCATCAGTGCTAGCGCCTGATGTCACGGAGCCTCCTCCTCCTCCTCCTCCTCCTCCTCCTCCTCCTCCTCCTCCTCCTCCTCCCTCTTCTCCTCCCGCCGCTGCTGCCACTGCCGCCTGCTAGGCCGCCTCCTTTGCAGGCAGCGGCCACAGCAGCAGCTCGTGCAGCAGCTCGTCGCCCCCTCCTGCTGCGGCGCCGTCGAGGCCACGAGCCCGACCTCCGGCGCCGCCTGCGGACCCACATGGCCCGCGAGGGCTCCGGCCGTTCAGCGGTCGTCTTCCCCCTTTCCTTGCGGGGGCCCCCGGACAGGGTGGTGACCACACCCCGGTGGGGATTCGGGGTCGCCGCATGGTCTTGGGACGTGAGTTCTCGGGTGACAGGGGCCTCCAGGGTCCCAAGACCGTGTGGTGACGGACCGTGCGGTGAGGTCTCTTGGGGTTCCGAGGGCACGGTCTGTCACCGCACGGTTTTTGGATCCCCGACCAGTTTTCGCTACCAGTTTTTGTTGCCCATGCTTTGTGCACTCGTTGTTCCTCTTGCGCCTCGCCTGTGTGTGGCGTCCTTGTTCTTTCACGCATCTGCTTCCACACGCTCGTGGGAAATATAGAGTCTGTCGTTGCATCTTGGGAACAATTCCGATGCAGGTTGTGTCGCGCGTGGCGTGTGTGTGTGTGTGTGTGCATGTCTTGGTAATGTGCATCGCCTGGGTGCGGTGCTCTTTGACCTTCCTTCCGATTATGCTGAGCTTTCGTTCTAGAGGAGTGTTGCTGGCCCTGGCGATCACCCTGCGTCGTGTGGAGGCTCGGCTGTTTACGTCCGCGGTGCGGCGGCTGCTGTTCCTGAGCGTGCGGGTGTTCACGATTTGGACCTTTCTGCGGGTGCATCGGTTGGGGGTGATGCTCGAGCCAGGGCGCCTGGCGGTCGCTTCCTTCCTCGGGCTGCTCCGCCTCCAGCTCGAGCCCCCTGCTGCTCGAGCTCGGGCAGCAGGGGGGGCCCATCAGTGGCTCTTCCGCCTGGCTGTGCTGCTCGAGCCGGGGCGCGTGGCCTTCGCTCCCTCCCCGCCGCGTGCGCCTCCTGCGCGTTGGGTCCCGGGGGCCGCCCCCGCGCTCCTGCCCGACAGGTCTGCGCTCGTGCGCGCGTGGGCGGTGGGCCTGGGCATTGATCCGCCCCAAGAGAATCCACACACACACACACACACACACACACACACACACACACACACACACACACACACACACACACACACACACACACACACACACACACACACACACACACACACACACACACACAGACACACACACACACACACACACATACAGGCACCCTCCAAGGGATTGTTCCTGGGCCTCCGGGAGGGTGGCGGCGTAGAAGTCACCGCGGGGAGCCAGCGACGTGATACACCGCCGCCCTCCCTGAGGGTGCATGGCAAAGTTCGTCGGAGGGCGTCCGTGTACGTGTGTTTTCGTGGCGTGTTTTAGCGCACCGTGGATCTGCGGCTGCTTGGGTGCCCCCCGGGGCGCTTCGTCGGCGGCCAGCGGGTCGAGCGCTTCGGCATGGTCGTCGCACCTGGTGGCGCAGCAGCTGCGAGCGCGGAAGGGCGGCGCCGGGCGGGCAAGGCGTCTATCGAGAATTCGTCCGAGGTTTAGTGCGCAATGGATGGGGGATGCGGCCGAGGCTTATGCTTATGCGGCCAAGAACATCACCGAGGAGCAGGCTCAAGCAGAGTCATGATGCGGCCATGTTAGCCTCCCAACGCGACATCGGTTCTTGGGCGCCAGGCCTCGGTCCCCGAGCCTCGGTTGGCGGCCTCGTGTTCACGTCAGCGTGCGGCTGCTGTTCTTTCTCCTTCCTCCGCTGCTCCTGTTCCCCCTCACGCTTTCCGTTCGTTTTGCTGCTGCCCTCTCCTTCTCATCCACTCCCATCCTTTGGTTCCTCCCTCCTCCTCCCCCTCCTCCTCCTCCTCCTCCTCCTCCTCCTCCTCCTCCTCCTCCTCCTCCTCCTCCTCCTCCTCCTCCTCCTCCTCCTCCTCCTCCCCCTTCTCCCTCGACCCTCCCCTTCTCCATCCTCCTCCTGCCCCTGTTTCTCGTTTTCCTCGTCCTCATAGTTCTGCATATTCCAACCAAGTGGTTCTTTGTTGTTCCTATCTCTACAGCTCGTTGCCATCGAGCAAGGGGGCCCTTGTCCATTCCCCTTGTCATCCACCCGCTTGGGCTCTTCTCGGTCTCGACTCATTCCTTGCCTTCTCTGCACAGCGTTCTCTTATCTCCATCAGGTTCCGGCACTTCGATCACCAGTCACACCATCTGATCCCAGTCCTGTTATCTACGGGCTCACAGTACCTCCCCGACTCTGGCACCTAGATCTGCCTCCCAGCCTCGCCATTAGCCTCCCAGTGCCGCTCTCTGTCACCCTCCATTTCGTCGTCCTCGTCGTCCTCATTATTTTCCTTCTCTTTCTCACCCTCCTCTCTCCCCCTGCCCCTCCCCATGACTCTCCTCATCGGTCCTCCCTGTATCCTCCGCCCTCCCCCTCCTCTTGCTCCGCTTGCCCAGCCGGGTTGTCTCAACGCGGATCGCCTAGCACAAAGCTAGTGGCGTCCAGTACTCCTTCCTTGTCCATCTCTTCTCCCTCCCCCTTTGTTCCCCAATCAGTGCTTGCACTGAAGGGGTCCTAGCGGAAGTTGAAAGATTTGGCGAAAGTTTCCCGCCGATTTTGGTAGCAGGCTGGGTTCCCGGGTTCCCAGTTCCGGGTTGTCGGGTTCCTGGTTATTGGTTCCGGGCCGAGGTCGGTGGGTTCTGGGTTCCCAGGCTCCCGGGTTCCCGGTCGATCTGCTCAGCGAAAACCATCCACTGATTGGGGTTCTTCTCTGGTGTAATTTCTATTTTTCCGTCCCCCAGAACCTTTTCGAACCTCCAGCATACATTTGTAGTGCCCGGTATCTCGTCGTAAGCACCAGAGAGCGCATGATCAAACCTCTTGTGCAGCTTGCCCATACTCCTCCTTATTCTTCCTCCTCGCTCTCATCCTTTCGCATTCCCCGGGATTGCCTTCTTCAGGGCCTTCGTACGAAATGAATCCTTCTTCTCTCTCCGTCATCCTCGTCCCCCCCCCCTGGCAAGTTTCTCCAAGCCGTGTAGCACGGTCTCCCGAAGAAGGGGCGGGAGGAGGAGGAATGTCGACACGAAGAGTGGAATGAGGATGAGGAGGATGATGAACGAGCCAGCAGGAGGGAGGTAAGGGAAGTATGAGGAGGGAGGAGTGAGGAGGAGTGAGGAGGATGAGGAGGATGAGGAGGAGGAGGAGGAGGAGGAGGAGGAGGAGGAGGACGAGGAGCAGGACGAGGAGGAGGAGGACGAGGACGAGCAGGAGGAAGAGAAGGAGGAGGAGGAGGAAGAGGAGGAGGACAGATAAGGAGGGAGGAAACTTGATGGAGCCAACACCATAATCCGAAACAGATCTGGAACTCCTGGACGGAGGAACAAACAAACATACGAGGAAGATGAGAGCAGAGGAAAGAGGGCGATGATGCTGAGGAGGGAGGAGGATGAGGAGGCGACAGGGGGGAGGACGGAGGAAGAAGAGGAATGAGGAGGAGGAAGGGGAGGAGGAGGAGGAGGAGGAGGGGGGGCGGGAGGAGAACGAGGAGGGAGAGGAGGAGGAGCAGGAGGGAGGAGCGACGGCCACGGCAGGAGAGAGGCAGGAGGACGCAGGAGAAGGAGGAGCGGGGCAGCGCGTGAGCGAGGGGAGCATGAGCGCCGGTGAGGGAGGACGCTTTGGGCAAGAGGAGGCGGCGGCCCCGCGTCGCGCGGGGGCCTCGGCAGGAGGCCTCCCTCGGGCCGTGGCCAGAAGCTCGCCCTGCCCCCCTGCCTGCGCGGGTCGCAGGAACCGTGCAAACACACGCTTTCGGAGGTCTGCGCCGACCTCCCAAGGTTTTTTTGTAAAGAAAAAATGCATACAGTTATATTGATGTGTCTATATGAATGTATGTCGTGCAATGCAATGCAATGCAATGCAATGCAATGCAATGCGATGCGATGCAATGCAATGCAATGCAATGCAATGCAATGTATTTAATGCAATGCAATGCAATGCAATGTCATGTAATGTAATGTACTGGGATGTAATGTAATGTATTGTAATGCATTGTAATGTAATTTAATATAATGTAATGTAATGTAATGCAATGTAATGCAATGTAATGTAATGTAGTGTAATGTAGTGTAATGTAATGTATATATATGTATGTATGTATGAATGTGTGTATTTTTGTACATATGTATGCATGTGTCTAGGTATGCATGTAGGTATGTATGTAGGTATGTATGTATGTACGTATGCATGCATCCATGTATGTATGTATGTATGTATGTATGTATGTATGTATGTATGTATGTATGTATGTAGTGTCTGTCTGTCTGTCTGCCTGCCTGCCTGCCTGTCTGTCTGTCTGTCTGTCTGTCTGTCTGTCTGTCTGTCTGTCTGTAGGTCTGTCTGTCTGTCTGTCTGTATGTATGTGCATATGTATTTGTGTAGTGTGTGTATGTATGTATGTATGTATGTATGTAGGTATGCATGCATGTGTGTATGCATGTATGTATATAGGTATGTATGTAGGTGTGTATGTAGGTATGTATGTAGGTATGTATGTAGGTATGTCTGTATGTAGTTATGTATGTATGTATGCATGCATGCATGTATGTATGTGTGTATGTATGTATGTATGTATGTATGTATGTATGTATGTATGTATGTATGTATGTATGTATGTATGTATGTATGTGTGTGTATGTATGTATGTATGTATGTATGTATGTATGTATGTATGTCTGCATGCATGCATGCATGCATGCATGTATGTATGAATGTAGTTATGCATGTATGACTTTATGTATGCATGTATGTGTGTATGTATGTATGCATGCATGCATGCATGTAGGTAGGTAGGTAGGTAGGCAGGTAGGTGGGTAGGTAGGTAGGTAGGGAGGTAGGTATGCCGACGTTCCTTCTTTGCCTTCGCGGGAACGGGGTGCACTCGTGCAACAGCCTGCCGTGAACGCGACCGTGCGGGCTCCCGAGGCCACCGCAGGCCTCGCACGCCAGCGCGCGCTCCCGCCCCCCGCGTGCTGCCAGCTCACGGCGTGCGCGGAGTGGGGGGCCACGTCGTGGTGGCCTGGGCTGCCCGAGACCTCCAGAAGGGCCGCGGTGCTCGGGCGGCACGGCTGCTCAGGTCGGCCAGCGGAGAGTCCGCTTCGCAAGTCGTGCTGGCCTTTACCGACCGCTTCCTGTGCGCCAGTGCCCTCTCGGAATCTGAGTAATGCGTACTGGTGTGCGCCAGTGTCGGCCGTGGCTGCTTTGGTGCCGATCGACGCGTGAAGATGGCGACATCTTGTTCCATGGAGTGGACGGGCTGGGAGGCACACTCTCGACGTCGCCAAGGCTTCTTGCCGAGTGAGTGGGCCGTCTCGGATGTTGGCGGCCCCCTGGGACCAGCGGACGGGGTCTTGCCCGCCCCTCTCTCGGCGGGCCCTCCGGACGAGCAACGGGGGGGCAGGAGGAGTGTTCCGCGGCGTGGTGCTTTCGCCGCCTCCCTCATCGACCCCTGTGAGAGACAGGGCGGCAGCTTCTGGCACATGGACAGGGCCCGAGAAGCGCTCGACCAGGCGGTCCGCAGCATCAGCGATGGCCACCATTTTCAGAAACTCTCGGGAGCCCGAGGTCATCTCCGACTACGCTTTGTGGCTGGCACTTCTCACAACACGCACGCCCCGATCGAGGAGGGCAATTGTAACAGAGCGCCGCCGTCTTCATGCGAGCGTTGGGACCCATGTCCTCTCAGCAGCTTGTGAGAACCTCTCAGAGCGTACCTTGAGCCTGTGGTATGCCTTATGTCTCCCTTGGACGTGGCGGCGCGCGCCTTGCGACACGCGATGAGCTCTCCCATGCTGATGCCTTGGCGGGCCCCGGGAAGGCCAGGTTCGAAGCCTTCGGACTGGGCCGGGGCTTGCTCGAGGCCAAGAGAAGTCCGCCGCGGACGCGCACGAGACGACGGCCCAGGAGATTCTCTTCAGGCGTCCGTAGCCAGTATGGCTCAATAAGGCAGTCCGTGCGCCGGCCCTGGGCTCGCGCCAGTCTCCCCGCGAAGGCCATGGGGCGCCGCGTTTGTGGTGCCGCGGGGATTCCGTTGGCTGCAACGGTCCTCCTTAAACTGGCTTGCAGAAGTGGCGGTGCAAGCACGGATGATGTATTTGTTACGTCCTCAGCGGCAGGTAGATGTGATACCACAGGCTACACTGTTTACCAGGCCCTGGTGGGATTCGGCATCTGCAAGGCTTCATGTATTGCAGAGTCCCGATGCGTCGCTTTATGGGGCGCCCCCTTCGGCCACGGTTCGTGTCGGCTGACATTGGACTCTTGCAATGAACGTGCCATCGCTCATCCAACATGGTCAACATACAGGGTATTGTTCCGCCAGGGCGGCGATCGGGATACGTCTGGGACGTCCGTGCGACGAAGGTCTGTCAGATAAGCCTGGTCAGTGAGTGAGCGGCTTCGACGCCTGAGTTCAGCCATGTATGGAGAACGACCGGTGCGTCGCCACCGTGGCGCCCCTTTCGAAGACGGTGAGTGTTGGTTGCCGTACGACTCTTGTGCTGAGAGGGCCGCCTCTCATATATCATTTAAGATCTGGCACTCCAGATTTCGTAAAAAAGGGAGGGGGTCTCATTTCGGGGGGGGTCTCTTCCAGGCTATCTTGGAGGGCCTGGGGGGTCTGGGGACGATGTTTCGGAGGGGTCTCCCACGGGGGAGGTCTGAAATGGCTTGTCTTGGTGGGTTGTGGCCCCCTCCCTTTGATTACGAAATCTGGAGTATCGCCCGCCGTTCCGCGCCACTGGCACGTGGGCCGCGACCAGCAGCATCAGCACCGCAAGCAGCGGCACACCTACTGCCCACACGGCGGAGAGCACTGCGTCCCACGCGGCGGGCACCGTGGCTTCCCACACGTCGGGGACTAGCAGTACTGCCGTGCTTGAGGTACCGTCGGGGCCCTGAAGAAGGAGCCCTTTTCGTTGGGGAGGGGCTCCGTGTCCCTTAATTGTTTCGCAGCTGGCCTTGGATTTTCCTTGGGTTTCCGATGCGAAATCGAAGTTCAACTTGTGGAAAGCAGGGGCCTCGTTCCTTATTTAGGGTTCCTTAGGTCAACGCCTCGACTGTAATTGCTGAGTACGTTGCGGACGCATTCTTTTCGCTTGATGTGGCGGAGTAGGACCTCGTGTCTTCCACTGTCTACAAGACCGCTAAGAAGACGCGTTTGGAGGCTGCTCTGTCCGTGCCCGCCTCTGAAATTACCATTACAGGCTTTGCGCTGGATGCTCGTCGGCCCTCCGCTGCTGTTCGCCAGCTCTCAGCCGCGATCTCTGGGAAGACTGGCTTCAGGGTGAAGACTACCAGCATCCGCGCCGCCAACGCCCTCTCTACAAGGACTGCTGGAGCCTCTACCGCCATCAGGGAGGAGACTGACAGCGCCATGGCTGAAGCTGACTGGAGTGGTGGGGACGTTCGTTAAGGAACGTGCCCAGCAGGCTTCAGACCCTGGAGGGTTCCTTATCTGATGAGGGCGGCGGTGAGATCTATGGCAAATCCACGATTGGCTTTTCACTGGCTTCCAGACCCTGGATTCCTGATCGAAGGTTTCCTCCTCCACTGCCATCGCCGTGGTGAATCGGTCATTGCCGCGGCTCCTACGATGGCGGCACTAGCCTCCCCGACCGCGGTCGGGATCACCGGGGGGCCCGCCCCCGCGGCGGCGGCTGCGCGTGTCTCAGCGACGGCAAGCACCACCACCACCACTCGCGAGCTAGCGAGCGCTACTTCCTCATCTCGCACACCGCCGCCACGACAAGCAGTGAGCCCATGATGGAACAGGGGCAGGTCTCGGATGCACTGACGATCGTCGTCGTCGGCCTCACGCTTGGCCTGCAGCGCAGCATGCGCCGCGGCATGCTGCTTGGACCGTCGGTTCTCCAGACACTGTGTAGATCTAGAAGGAGATCGGCAAGCGGAGGTTGTACATCCCGATCTGAGCCACGGCGAACCTTTGGAAGTTGCGGTTGCGCATCCAGGTCTGGAGACCCATGGTGTCAACAACGGTTTTAGACAGGGCGGTTTGCGTAAGAGCATGGATTTAGGGGTTCATCCTGGAGGGCGAAATCATCCGCATGCCAGTGGACACCCCGATCCTGCGACATCAGACGTGCCGCGACATGGGAATGTTGATCAAGCGGAGGTTGAATATCGACGACATGCTGACTGGAAAGCTCTGCGTTGACACGGCAGCCGTCTCCTATCGTTGGCCAGTGCCAGAACAGTTCGATGCAAAGTGCAGCAAGCTGCGTAAATTGCAAGAGATATTGATATGGAACCCTCCGGTCAAATGCTATGTATTGATTTGGCATGTGCACCTCAATGGCACAGCGGTGGGCGCAGCGATGAGGAGGAAACCAGATTTATCATGACTTTGCAGCACGGGTTGCCGTTCATCTTCCTCGGGTGCAGTGGGATCATCCTGTATGAACGGATCCACAGCCGGAGTGATGGGTCGCCACCAAGACGCCAGCAGTTGCTTGGCTCGTGCCTGCCAGCGGGGATCGTCTGCGAGTGCTGGTGCACGGCATATATTCGGCGAGTGGGCACGACAAGGCCAACAAGGCACAGGTGCTCGAGTATTGGCACAGGGCCGATGCGCAGGCGGCAATTGCGACCCTCTTGCAGGACGACATACTTGTCACCAACGAGAAAGACAAGCAGATCAACCTCAAGGTCGTCGCGTCGCTGGACGAGCTCGTCCAGAGCCGTTACTGCTCGCTGCGCGTCCATTGATCGAATTAGTTGCCCCAAGCAGTTACGCGTTGGCACTGTGATTCGGCAAGTTGGCCCAATCAGTCACGTCTACACTCAGGGGCAGTACGATTATGTCAGCGCAGCAACAGCAAGCGATGCTAGTTTCGTTTACCGTCCATGAGCACGTTCTCGCTAAATTGGTTGCCGCCACTGCTGTGAACGATGGTGAACTAGGGTCGGGCCGAGGTATAACATCGAGGTCGGTTCGGGGAGGGTGCCCTCATGCTGCTCGTACTTGTTGAATGTTCATTTGCCTCCTGGGGCAGAGTACCCCCGAATCCCTCGAAGGTTCTTTAGTTTGGCTGGCGTGCGGTCTCACGTACCCTCTAGTGTTCTTCTCTGGAAAGATGCTATTATGTCCTGGGCCCAGCCGCGCTGTGGCCCGATGATGGCGACGAGGATCGGGGCGGAGGACGAGGACAACGCGCGCGCGGGATTGCTCACTGCGATCCGTCCAGCAATAAGCAGACCCTCGCAAACATACCGTGCGCCTGATACCGTGCATTGCCAGGCGACTCACGGTGCTCCCAACCTGCTCGGCAGAGCGCACCACTCTCGCCCCCTCCTGCCGTGCCATTTGCCTACATCCCCGCCTCCATATGCTCGTCATCGTCTTTTGCGGCACAGCTGCAGTCCAGTGCATGATGTTGCCTGACCTTTTTTTTCGTTTTCAAGGAAAAGGACTGGCTTGATGGCTTGTATTCGCCGCTTCTCTCCTCATTTTCGTTTCGTGCACTGCATCTTTGTGTTTGCCTTGCGGCCTGCATATCAAGGCTTCTGTACTTGAATTCGGTTGTTCCGCTTAAGTCGTCTTTCGCATATTATGTACAGGCGTTACGGCTGTAACTCAACCGCAGTCTGACCACAGCAAAGAAAGAATTTCTCCTCAGCCGTGAGTGCTGATTATATGTCCCCCACGGGGCGTCACCCCCCAACAACAATCCGCCAGCGACGGGGTGGGTGACGCTCAGTTCGGGGATCGCCTCGGTGGCTTGTTGGCGGGCTTGTTCGGCCACATGATTGGTAGTTTGGCAGGCGTCTACCAATTCGTTGGCAGAAAGTGTGTGTGCGTGTGTGTGTGCGTGTGTGTGTGCTTGGAGGAGGTGTCTGGGTGTGGGTGTGGATGAGGTGTCTTTGAATAGGCGGCGACACATGCACATATCTACATTTGAGTATATATACATATATATATACACATACACATACACATACACATGTGTATGCATACACATATGTTCATCTGCGTGTTTGTATGTATAAATATACGTATTTCAAACATATACCTATGTATGTACGTGCCCCTGCGCTCGAGCAGAGGCAGCACGGGGAAGCAGCGCCGGCGTGCGAATTCTTCAGCGACCATGGAGCCACCGTGCGCGCGCTCTTGCGACACCGGAGCTCGCGGGCAACCTCGCCCGACGACCGCGCATGGCCGTGACGCACGAAACTCCAGCTTCCAACGGGAGCGGCTTCACGGCAGCTCTCCCCCAGACAATCACACCTTTCAGCATACCTCTATACCTCTATCTCTGTCGGTCGTGCCGCTTCTCTCTCTCTCTTTCTTTACTTCCCTCCTTGTGTATATATTTATATTTATTTATGTCTCTCTCTCTCTCTTTCTCCCTCTCTCTCTCTCTCCTCACATCTCTCTATATGTCGCTCTTTCTCTCTCGCTCTTTCTTCTTTTTTGTTTGTTCTCTCTCTCTCTCTGTCTCTCCCCCCGTATCTGTCTTTCTCTCGGTCTCCCTCTCTCTCTCTCGATGTCTCTCTGTGCATCATCCTCTCTTTCTCTCTCTCTCTCTCTCTTTCTAGTTTGTTTGTTCTCTCTCCCCTTCTCTCACCCCATCTCTGTCTCTCGCTCTCGCTCTCTCTCGCTCTTCTCCTCTTTCTTTCTCTCTTTCACGTTTTCCCTCTCGCTCTCTATATCCATCTCTATTTGTCTTGTTCTCTTTTTCTCTGTCTCTCTGTGTCTATATGTGTCTCATCCTCTCTCTCTCTTTCTTGTCTGTCCGTTGTTTTTGTTGTGCTCGCTGGGTTGTTTTGTTTGTTCTCTCGCTGTGTCTCTCTCTCTCTCTCTCTGTATCGATGTATTCCCGTGTATATATACATACATAGATATATGTGTCTCTCCGACCCTTGCTGCCTGCTCGCCAGGAGCCGGAGGGGTGCACGGCACAACTGAGCGCAGAGGCCGCTGCAATCCGCAGGAGACTTTCCCGGCGCCCGTGATGCAGCAGCAGCAGCAGCAGCAGTGGCGCAGAGACTCAGAGAGCAGCTAGACGGCGGAGGGCGAGGAGGAGGCGACGTCAGCGGAGAAAAAGGTACCGATACCGCTACCCCTGCTCCGCTTTCGCCTTTGGAGTTTTTAGGGGAGGCCCTCGTCGCCACCGCGGGCTTCGCCTTGAAAGTGTGGTCCAAGGGCACCCCAGGAGAGGTCCGTGGAGTAGCGGTATTGGTACCTTTCGTTTCCTCAGGAAGAGACGGGAGGAGGAGAGAGAGGTTTGGGCGGTTCCAGGAAAATCGCTGGGGCTTTCGGGAGCTCTCAGGGGTATCCGGCGAACCTTGCAGCAGGCAAGATGGGATGGAGGACGATGCGGAGGAGGAGGAGGAGGAGGAGGAGGACCAGTGCAAACCCAAGACGTATCAATAATGTTGCGATGAATCCTCCCTCCAAGGTCTCTTCTCACAGGTCGTTACAATAACAGATTTACATTGCGGGAAATTCCCCTATTGAAAGACAACCGTTTGATAATCTTCAATCGTGCCACAAGACAATCCCCAGAATTTCAATGCCGCGAATCAACGTGACTGGTGCGTCTTGAGAATCCGAAATCGTGCCATAATATCACTACTTTGATTTCAACACCGCGCGACAACATGACTGCTGTGTTCTGGCAGCCTTAAGACATGACGTCATTTCATTCCTGGGACTTCAGGCATACGAATCCTTGACACAGCTGTAAACTTTTGCGACGAAAGTGCGCGACGCTAAAGCAAGAGCCACAGTTTAAAAAGGAACCGCCCTACATCCGCGAGCCTGCTGCAATTTTTTAAGACGAGTTTGCGCGGCGCATTGGCGAGAGCCACATTTTGAAAACGACCCGCCCTCCATCCGTGAAACGGCTGTCAACTCTTAAGACGATGGGGCGCGGCAGCGCTACGGCGAGAGCAACATTCTGAAAACCACCAGCCCTCCATCCGTGAAGCTGCTGCGCGTCTCAAGCTTTGGAGGAGGAGGAGGAGGAGGAGGAGAAGGAGGAGGAGCAGGAGCAGGAGCAGCAGGAGGAGGAGCAGGAGCAGGAGCAGGAGCAGGAGCAGGAGCAGGAGCAGGAGGAGGAGGAGGAGGAGGAGGAGGAGGAGGGGGGAGGAGGAGAGGGGGAGGAGGAGCAGGAGCAGAGCAGGAGCAGGATCAGGAGCAGGAGCAGGAGAGGAGAGGAGGAGGAGGAGGAGGGAGGAGGAGGAGGAGGAGGAGGAAGGAGGAGGAGAGGAGGAGGAGGAGGAGGAGGAGGAGGAGGAGGAGGTTATAAATGGTGAGGGCTTCCCAGGCGAGGCGCGCGGCCTTCCCTACCGATGCGCCCGGGGGTGCGGCACTGGGGGGCGGGGGGGGGGCAGGGGCAGGCTCTCGAGCCTTTCGGCCGGGCCGTGGTGTGGAGCCACGCGGGCGTCGCTCCGAGGCAACGTCGGGGGGGGGGGGGATATCAAGCAGTGGCGAAGCGTCTCGGCGTGCCTATAGCCCTACCAAGCAATGTTCTAAGAGCTCGTTGTGGTTTCCACGAAATGTTCTTAGAACATTTCAACTTTGCAACCGTGCACACGACGTCAGCGCCCTGAACTGCACCCGCTGGCATCGCGCGAGCAGCTACGTCCAGCGTCTCCAGCGCGAACGGCTCCCGGGTGTCTTCCATCGAAGCCTGCACCAGCTGGCCGAGCACGTGTTCGATGCCCTCGGCCTCGCCGAACTGCTCCGGTTAAACATTTTTCCAATGCATCCTCCTGGAGTCCAAGAACGGCCTGTGGGTCCGAAGTCAGCACTCCATTGACGTCGAGGCCTTCCCAGGCAGGCGGAAGATTTGGCCTGACGCGCGCGTCGATGGGCCAAGGTCGGCTCCGTCTGCCGCTGCTGTTGGATCCGGGCCATGAAATTGGCCCGCGAAACCACGGAAGCTCACCTGGTAGCCAAGCCCGCCCACTATTTGAGATAAGCCATGGGAGGCCGCGAAACCGTCTCCATCCAATTCCGCCATATACGCAGCATCTTTGCACCAGCCGTTGGCCAGACCAGCGGGCGTCTTCTTGCCGAATGAGGCGTCCTTCCTGGGGGGTCAGCCTTGCCAGCTTGGCTGGCCAGCATGCGCGCACATGTAGCAGCCTGAGTCGAGCCGGCGCCGTTCTTCCGCAGGGCCGCAGCGCGGACGAGAAGGGTGGAGGAGATGCCCCGCCACCCAGCCTATTCGGCCCTCGTGCGCGTACGACCAGGGGCGAGCTCCAACCCCTCCCACAGAACCAGTGAGCCAGCGGCCCTGTCTATGTGCTTGCCCTTTTCCTCCTCAGGGACTCCTCCAGTCATCAGGACCCCCCTCGCAAGGTGATTGACCCAGACGTCGCGGTCGCTCGCGGCATCCACACGAGCGGCCTGTTGTCACCGAAAGGCGGCATGGTCCGGCTCACTGGTTGGTGCCGTCTTTTGCCTCAGGGTGCACTCGTGCAGTCAGCTGTCCAAGCTGCGTGTTGCACGGATGGCGGACGCCTCTTGACGCAGGCGTTCGTCCGGCAAGCAGGTTCCTAGAGGGGTTGTGTTTCTGTCGTGCCCCTCTCACCCCCCCTCCTCCTCCTCCTCCTCCTCCTCCTCCTCCTCCTCCTCCTCCTCCTCCTCCTCCTCCTCCTCCTCCTCCTCCCTCCTCCTCTCTCCTCCTCCTCCTCCTCCTTCTCCTCCTCCTCCTCCTCCTTCTCCCTCCCTCCTCCTCCTTCCTCCTCCTCCTCCTCCTCCTCCTCCTCCTCCTCCTCCTCCTCCTCCTCCTCCTCCTCCTCCTCCTCCTCCTCCTCCTCCTCCTCCTCCTCCTCCTCCCCCCTCAGCACGCTGGCTGTTCTTTTCGCTGCATGGCTGCAGCAGAAAATGCGCGAGAGCCTCTGCCGACACTGGGACGCTGGGTCGCGCGCCGCGTGGGCCAGCTCCGCCACGAGGCTCGGTGGACCTCGTCCTCGCCAGCAGCCTTCGGAGTCGTCCTGCATCCGTGCAAGCCCGCGGACGCCGCTCAGCCTGACTGACCACCTCCCCCGACGGCGCGCTCCAGATCGGGGGCCTGGCATCCGAGGATCGCAGGCGTCGTCACCTCCTCCTCGGCGGCAGGCGGCTCGCGGGAGTTGAACGAGGCCGCCTCCGCCTTCGGAAGGGCCGACGGAGTGCCGCCGGCAGCCGCCGGAAGCACAGCAGGTGCCCCCCAAGCTCGGGCCGAACGAAAGGGGGGGATAGGGAAAGGGGGGCTACGAAATCTGCTGCATGCAGCTGGTCTCGGCCCCGCCGCCGGGCCCATTCCTCGATACATGGGCGCCTTCCGGCGCCGGGAGGCGCCGGGAAAGTCAGCTACGCGTGAGCTGATTCTCAGACCCCCCCTTTGCCATCCCCCCCCTTTCGCCCGGCCCGACAAGCGATGGCAACATGTCTTGAGCCCAGGGTTTCCAGGATCGGCCAGGTGTTGTCCCGCCGGGGGCTGCAGCCGCCCGGACTCGAGACAGCGGGTCCATCGAACCCACCCCTCTGGACATCACTGAATCGTCTCGGCCATGCGTAAGAGTGGCCCTTCGCCAGAGCGACCTCTGGTGCGAGCCCACTGGGGTCCACCGGTCCCCGAATGCTATGCGCTGGCGGCGGCTTGCTCGCTCGGGCTTTCCCCCCCCCCCCCCCCCCCCCCGCAGCCCCCCTGAAGAGCCGCTCACCAAAGGTCACTCTTGCCTTGGGCCACTCCTGCGTGGATGCGATCACTGCCCCCCCCCACCCCCCACCCCCCCTGGCGGGATGCCTGCACTCTGCGGTCCGAATGTTGCTTTCTTCCCAGGGCCGCCAACGCCTTCAGGCCCCAGGAGCTGGGCACCTACGAGCCGGGGCGACCAGCAAACGAACTCGCACCGCCGACACCGCGGCGGAGTGGACACCGCCTGAGCTCCGTTGGGGGGGGGGGGCGGGCTTCTGGGCCGCGGTCTGTAGCGAGCACGCACCGTCGAACCCAGGGCCGAGCGCAGAAGCGCCAGGCACCGATTCGGCATCACCGCCTCCTCCTCCTCCTCCTCCTCCTCCTCCTCCTCCTTCTCCTCCTCCTCCTCCTCCTCCTCCTCCTCCTCCTCCTCCTCCTCCTCCTCCTCCTCCCCCTCCTCCTGCGGCAGCAATTCAGCACCTGCAGCCTGCAGCTCACCACGAGCGCCGAAGGGCGCCGCAGGCGCTGAGCTTCCCACCGGCGGCGGAGAGGTTCCGTCGTCCGTCGTGCGAAACAGCTCCTCGTAACCGTCACGAAGCTGACGAGGTGCTACGGCTGGATCCGCCCCGAAATTCTGGCCAGAACGATCTGCTGGATAGGTGTGGGGAGGGGGGACCATTGAGGCAGGGGGAAAATCCTGATGAGGATGAGGATGAGCATGGCAATTCTATTGAGAGGGAGGGTGAGGAGGAGGAGGAGGAGGAGGAGGAAGAGCGTGAATGAGCGGTCGGATGAGATCGAACCGAATCGGAGCGATCGGGCCGGATGTCTGACAGGAGCGATCATGTCGGATAGGAACGAGAATGTTGCCACGTTATAGTGCGAGATTCTTGTCAATCGCCCTCCCATCTCGCAGACTCCATGCAAATCTCTCTGGGCGCCGCCAGGATGCTCATTGCCAACGACGAGGGCCTCAGAGCGGCACTGCCCCCACAAATCGCGAGCGACCTGCGTCAAGCCGCGATGAGGGGAAATTGGAAGAAGAGGTTCGGGAAGAATCGCATTGGTATATGTTCATTGTTTTCGGCAGGGAAGGATGCGTGGCAAAAGAGCGGGTGGATGAAAGCTGAAAAGTGATGGGGCGGTCCAGGGGGAATGATACTGCGGGGGAATGGAGAGAAGAATGTGGGGAAGGATAGTCTGTTCGTTGTCAGCTGTCCAAGCTGCAGATGTGGATTGCTGTAGTAGCGCGTAGCCCCCTTCGCTTTTAAGGGCAACTCGCCTTCGACAAAGGTGGTACCACGAAGCGACGAGGTGGATCACATTGGACGAAGTGCTGGAGCCTGCTGCCATTGCCCGGCTTTCGCGCACACATGCTTCATATCAGGGGGAGGTTCGGGCGGGTGGTAATGTGGAGTGACCTAGATGGGGGTCTTCATCCCCCATGTAGGTCACCCCCCATTGCCACCCGCCCGACTTTCGCGCGCACACACATGCCGCATGTCAGGGGGACAGGAAGGGAAGTAGGTGCAACATCAGGAGGGAACACAGAACACACAGACAGACATAATCGTCGATCCCCAGGAGAAGATGCGAAACTATGGGAAGTAGAAGAAGAAGACGAGACTCCAGAAGATATGGAACAGTTGGGGAATCCGGGGAGTTGTGTCTATTTGTTTGTGTGTCCATGGGTCCCTTCAGAAGACGGGGGGGCTGGCAGGAGGGGGAGAAGGCGCCGAACGCAGCGGAGACCTCGGCAGCAGTTCGAACGACGACGACAGCGTGCGCGTGCGTACGGCATACTCTACAGAGCCGCACCTGCGAGTTCTACCAGGTGCTGCTGGTGCTGTGCAAGTCGAGACCGCGGGCCGCCACCGATGCCGATACTGCATCTCTACAATGAGGTGAGGAAGGGGGTGCCTATTCTGCTACGCTTGCCTCGTTGTCCCCCGTGTTGGGCCTCCTGTGAGGCCCTCGTCTCCACCGCTGGACTCGCCTCGAAAATTTGGTCAGAACTCACCCCGGGAGAGGTCTGGGGAGCAGCGGTATCGGTACTTTTTGGTCTGCCCATGCAGGGCGGCACCTGCCAGTGCCACCTTGCTAGTGCTGTGCAAGGCGCCTGAGGAAGGGAGGCCTTGTTTCGGCGGCGAGCGAGGGGGGGGGGGGAAACTTCTCAGAAGGCCCCCGGCCTTCTGAGATGTTTCTTTGTCTTCGGGGAAGGCTTGGCCAACTTTTCAGAAGGCCGGCGGCCTTCCGCGTCTTCTGAGAAGGCCCGCCTTTGTCTAACTTTCCACCCGGGCGCGCCGCCAACTGATGGACAACCTGGAGCCTCGTCAGCCTCTAGGCAGATCTCAGGACCTCCTCAGTGTGTCCAAAGGGGCGCTGAGCTCTCGGCCCCCAAAACACCGCTGCTGCAGCGGCACCGCGAGCTCATAACACCAGCAGTAACAACGACAAGGAGTAACCGAAACATGTTAGACGTCTGCGTGGCGCAGTGGTGGCTGGCTGCTTGGTGGGCACCATTCAGTGCGAACGATAACATACAGAAACATGTAGTCGTGCGTACGTTACTGGTGGCTGGCTTGGTGGGCGACAAGAAGTGAGGAGGA